AAAGGCTGTTACAGTGATAGAGGTAGGTATTGATTTGGGTGAAGAGAGGGGCAGTGTACCAAATGTGAGTGACCAATATGGCATCATTGAGGATGAGAAAGACATAGAGAGGTACATGGCAGGTACAGACAATGGATATGAGCCCTTTTGCACATGCAGTGCTGTGTTGTCAATGAGGGCAAACATGGGTATATGGATGGATGGATGGGTGGACAGGCTGAACGATTAGGTATGTCTATGGAATGGGGAGTGTGTCCAAGAACATATATAGGGTTGGCAGCCAATGGTCCTATAAGTTTATGTGAATGATCAGAATTCCCAGGTGTATAGTAGCGCTGAGTAGGGTCAAAGTTGTGGTCACTGCTTGGTCACAGCCAGCTACCCAGAGGGACCGAGTAGTTGAACCTGCGGGCTTGAGACCAGAGTCTTAGGGGATATCAAGCTCAATTGGCATAACTACTATACAAAACATTGTTCCACCTCCTACTTTGGCGAGTAGCGACTGGGATCTTAAAAGCTAGGAAGCTGATATCTAGATGCAACGATGCGTCTGTCCTCGTCCAGGGCAAAGAAGAATGAAGAAAACCAAAATTCATGGAAGCATTTAGTCCTAGCGACTGGTACACCATCTGATATGCAGCCTCCACAACTATGAGACCAGAAGAACTAGATGGTGCCCAGCTACCACTGTCATCCATTTGGAAGGGTATCTGTGTAGGAGATCCTTGATTGAGAGGGAGAACCATGTGGAACAAAACTCAGAATCATTTGGAGAAAATAAAAAAAGGTGAGGACCAGGTTTGTTCCCATTAGTTCCGATAGAGCCTGGTGGAACTACTGAGACTATGGCCCCTAGCTGCTCTTCAGGTCTGGAATTGAATCCACACCTGTGGTTTCCACCCAAACAAAGTACAGGCATATGAGTTGAACATTTACCTCAGGTAGATACACTCCTTGAAGAGAACAATCATGGGAGAAAGAAGGGCTGCTTATGCACAGGGAGACAGCTCAGGGGGCAGGAGTGTATAGAGAGATGGACACTGGGAAGAGGTGGCTGTAGGGAAGAGGTGGGAGGGGAGCTGTTGCATTGTGGTAAACTGTGGTCAATGACATGAGACTAAGTATATGTGAACTGCTGTATGGAAAGTAAATTTGCTCTGTAAATCTTCACTGAAATCACAATTAAAAATAAAAAAGTAAGTGAATTATTTCAGTCTACAACAGTGCTTCTGCAAGAAATGAATAGAGTAGTGCAGATTTTGTGGTATTAGTAAACCTACTATATACAAATCACATTTGTGGGTGGTATAGTAGATAAGAGATGAATCAAGCACAACCCTTGCCTTTGAGGAGTGTGTTGCCAATAGTTTGGTGGTAGGGTGGGAATTAGACTAGTAAGCAAAAAGCAACATGAAAAATGGGACAAGGTGAGAATCTCTATGAAAATCTCCCCAAAAGTACATTGGAGGTTTTAAGGAAAAAGACTTTTTACTAATTACAGGGACAGCCTGAATGGAAAAGTGATATTTGTGATGATGACCATCTGTGAGTGAGCAGATAGGATTCTAGCAGATAGATATGCAGGAAGAATATTACGGACAGAAGCAATTAGAGAAGAGAAATACAAATACAAGATTAGGAAAGCTCAGAGCATATGTATTTGAGAAACAGGACTTTTTTTTTTTTTTTTTTGAGAGCATATATGTAAGAAAACAGGAAGGTTATCTTGGAAAGATATGCTATGGCCAAATTTTGGAAGGCCTTGAATGCTAGGGTGAGATTTGTGCTTACTTTAGTGAGCATTGAGAGTGTGTCTGTTGAAGTTGTTAGCTGTCCTTGAGCTGGCCTCAACTCATGGCTCCTCTGTATAATGGAAGAAAATGCTGCCAGGTCATGAGCCAACCTCATGATTGCTTGTGGATTGGACCATTGTGACCTATAAGATTTTCATTGGCTGATTTTTCAGAAGTAGATCACCGGCCTTTCTTCCTAGTCTGTCTTAGTCTAGAAGCTATGCTGAAACTTGTTCAGCATTGTAGCAACATGCAAGCCTCCACTGACAGAGGAGTGATAGGTACGCATGGGTGCATGGGCTGCAGTCCAACCCAGGTCTTCTGCAAGTAAGGTGTGAGAATTCTATCACTGAACCACCACTGCTCCCATGTCTGTTGATAGGGATGAAAAATGGTATATAGCTACACTGTCTTGTAGCCACTAGCCACATACAGTTATTGAGCTCTTGAAATGGTCTATTCTAGACTGCTAAATAAACCCACACTGGATTTCTAAGATTGAGTACAAAAAAAAAAGGATAAAATATCTCATTAACAATGTTTATATTGATTATATGTTAGAATGATTATATTATATATATATTGGTTTCAATAAAACATTATTAAGTTAATTTCACCTGTTTCCTTTTTACTTTTTTAAGGTGGCTACTGGATAATTTAAAATTATATATGCAGCTTGATTTGTGGCTCAGATTATATTTCTGTTGTACAGTGCTGGTATAGATAGAATATGATCAATATTTATTAGTACCTACTTTTATGCTAAATATCTGGTAATTGTAATGAAGTTAATCCTCATAGGAAGCCTGTATCATTTCCAAATGAAAACTCTTTCCAAATGAAAACTCTCTCCTCTAGATTAATTAAAGCATAAAAATTTTTGAGTTAGCTAGTTTCATGTACTTTAAGTAAATGAACATTCTTGGCCAGAAATTGTGACAATAAACCAAACAGAAGAGGTAGGTGATATTACCCCATTTTTTGAAGTTATTGAGGTACAGAGAAGATAAAGAACATACCTGAAACCACTTTGCTAGTAAACAGGAAGCCAGGACTCAAACTTGGGCCTCTCTGACTTCACAGCCCATAGTTTTCTCAGTGCACTGTGACATATTGTCATTGGGCCACTGAAGGTGGTTGAACTGGAGAATGGCATGATTGGATCAGTGCTTTAGCAGAAATAGAATAAAGATAAATACATTGGAGAGAGGAGATGGGAGTTATTGCTCAATTAGTACAGAGTTTCTGTTTGGGATGATAAAAGGGTTTTGGAAATAAATAGTGATTAGCAATGATTTCTTAACAGTATGAATATAATTAATGCCACTGAATTGTAACTTAAAAATGGTTAAAATGCCATGGGAGATCAGAAGGGGGCAGTATTTGCACAGAGAGATAGCTCAGAGGGCAAGGATGCATAGGAAAGAAGGACACAGGGAAGAAGTACCTATAGGGAGAAAGTAGGAAGAGAGCTGTTACATTATGGGGCTTGCAGTCAGTGTCACGAAACAAAATGTGTATGAGCTGTTGGATGAAGAATGAATTTGCTCTGTAAACTTTGACATTTTTAAATGGTCAGAATGGCAGATTTTATATTTTACCACAATAAAAAAAAATTGAAGTTACATTAATTGCAACAATTAGAATAAATAATATGACTAGTCATTTTAATCAGTTCAGCATTTAAGAATGTGCAGTCAGGGGTTACCAGTTACAGTGCCACATAGACTCAGATGTAGCACCATCTTCTGGACAGAGCACATTCCTGGAAGCAAACTACACTGAACAATACTCCTAGAGTTGCCACTGTTTTTTGCCTACTAGACTCTCAACTCAGTGATTGTGTTGGTGACTGTCATCTGTCTATAACCTCAGGCTTGTTCCAGAATGGCTCTGTTGGTTATTGGCTGTAAGATTTGGTGTGTGCTTCCAGAGGTTTCAACATAGTCTGTTGGACATTTATGATCCTAATACCCCACCCCATCTAGGACAAACTTCTGACATTTCTCTTTGCTGATATTGGTTCCTGGTCCTATGTAACTAGGCAGGGTTCTCACCTCCCACACTGTTGCTTTATGTACCAGATGATAACAGGATATTATTAAAGAGCTGTTCCTAGGGAGAATCTGGCACATTGCTAAAGGAAGGGCTTATCTTGGTACTTCTTTTGTAAATCCTCTGTTAATATCCCACTGTAGCTGTTCACAAGGAGCTCTGGTGGCATACTGGTTAAAGCATTTGGCAGCTAACCAAAAGGTCAGTGGTTCAAACTAACCAGCCACTCCACAGAAGAAAGATGAGGTCTCTTTCTCTGCTCCCACAAAGAATTACATACAGCCTTGGAAACCCTATAGGGCAGTTCTGCTGTATCCTATAGGATCACTGTGAGTCGGAATTGACTCAGTGGCAGTGGGCTTGGTTTTGGGTAGGTGATCACACTGTTTTGCAGAAGTCTGGTGGTTCAAACCCACTGGCCACTCCCTGGAAGGAAGATTGGGCAATCTACTTTTGTAGAGATACTGCCTCGGAAACCCAAGGGAGGGGATCACTATGAATTGGATCGGACTCAATGATAGTGAGTTCAGTTTTTGGTTTAGCTATATCAAACCTGACTCTAAATTTGATAAACTTATTTTGTACCAAACTCTTCGGACTGCCTTTTTATCTGTATACATTTGAAGTTGATGTAATGGGTTATGACACTGAAAAAAGCGGATGAGACATCTCTGAGAGGTTTGTTAGCTGGACTGGATGCTGCCTTGGAGATGCACAGTCTGCTTCCCCAGAGGAGTACACTCAGGTTTGTATGTTCTTGCAAACATTTTGTGGTCAAAAATCGTCGTTTACTTAAGATACATGAAAATTGGCTAATTTGAAGAATTTCATGCTTTAATGAACCTAGAAGAGAGAATTTTAATAAGTGAAATGACATTTGTAAAAATCTTTGATTCTTTAATTGCAAACCATGAATTGATAATTCAGTGCTAGTTTTTCAAAAAGTGTAAATAAAGTACTTCATATCAAAATAATGGAAGGGAACAGATTTCATTTTTAGTCACCTAGTTTTTCTATTTGTTTGCTTCTTTTGTTTTATGAATGATACTTTTTGTGAATAAAAATGCCTTATCAACTTTTGAAATGAATTTTTTGAAATATCCTATATGTTACCTGCTTCTCAAAATATTTGCCTTATCGATTTGTAGATTTGATAATGGGCTGCATTAAAAGTAAAGAGAACAAAAGTCCAGCCATTAAATATAGAACTGAAAACACTCCAGAGTCTGTCAGTACAAGTGCCAGTCATTATGGAACAGAACACACTTCAGTGGCACCATCATCTTCAGTGAAGGGGACATCTGTTAATTTTAGCAGTCTTTCCATGACACCATTTGGAGGATCCTCAGGTGTGACACCTTTTGGAGGAACATCTTCCTCATTCTCAGTGGTGCCAAGTTCATATCCTACTAGTTTAACAGGTAAGATTTAAGTGGACAGTCTTGTTAGTTTGATAAAGTGACCTTGGGTAATACATACATAAAATTTGTATGTTATAAGAAAAATAACTTACTGGGGGACTTTTAAAATAATTATATGTGAAAATTACAGTCTGTAACAAAATCTTATTTTATACAAGACTATTGTTCTGGGAAATTTGGTGATAATCTGATGATTATGTGTTGGGTTATATCATTTATTTTTTCACCAACTCATTACTCATATTTATTCCGCATTTATTGTGTGGCAGGCACTTGGGATATAAAAAATAAAAACATATGCCCCTTCCTCAAAAATCTTACAACTTCTCCCCCCCTAAAAAAACAAGCCAAAAAGCAAACCAGCTGCCATCAAGTAAATTCCAACTCATCGCAACCATATAGGGCAGAATAGAACTGCCTTGTAGGGTTTCCAAAGCTGTAAATCTTTATGAAAGTAGAGTGCACCATTTTTATTCTGTGGAGCTGCTGGTGAGCTTGAACCTCCGACCTTTTGGTTAGCAGTTAAATGCTTTAACCATTATACCACCAGAGTACCTATCCACTGTGAAAGTATTATAATAGTTACTTAATAATGTTAATTAAATGGCACTTTAGTGATGATATATAGTTTTTGTTAGGTACTCAAAAACTCAAAAGCAAACTCCATTCAGACCCTCATTGAGTTTCCAAGGTGATAAAATCTTTACAGAAGTAGATTGCCCCATCTTCCTTCTGCAGAATGGCTGGTGGGTTTGAACCACCAGCATTCTAATTAGCAGTCAAATGCCTTAGGCACTCTGCCACCAGAGCTCCTTATCATATACTACTAGTTTAAAAATAAAATCCTGAGACTTTAAAAGTTTAAATTATTTTATCCAGTCACAGATAATGAGCAGGAGATCCCAGATTTGATACACTAGTCCTGAACTCCATTTATTATAACATCTTTTCACAGAACAGGAAGAAGGGGCAGCTGACAGCCTTGCATGGCAGCAGAAATGTTAAAAAAAAAAAAAAAAATCAGAAACTTTAAAAGAGAGAGACTATGAGAGAACCACATTTTTTTTGTAAAGGATCCCATATCAAACTGGTTTTCTATGTAAGAAACAAAACGCTAGTGACTTAAACAATAATGTAGGGTATGCCCCAGGATTCCTTGATACAGCAGCTCCATGATGTCAGCAAAGACGAAAATTTCTTCTCTCTCTCTCCTGTAGTCCTTGGAGTAGTGTCAGCTTTACCCTGGCTTGGCAAAACAGCTTCCACCATCACATTGAGCAGCACATGTTATTAACAACAAGTGGGGGCAAAAGAAAAATCTCTTCAAGTGTGGACTAGAAATTTTTCCCATCAGTCTGCCCACCCTTGGACTTAAAATAGTAGCCAAAGGAATGCCATATACTGATCTTACTAGACTGTTCATTTGGGAGTTAAGATTGTAATTGACTATAATCCTGTAACTTGTTACTCCAGCCCCCTAACTCGAGGGAGTGCTGGTGGCACAGTGCCTAAGGCATTTATTTGACTGCTAACCAGAAATTTGGCGTTCAAACCCACCAGCTGCTCCGTGGAAGGAAGATGAGGCAATCTACTTCCTTAAAGATTTACACTTTGGAAACCTAATGGGGGTCGCTATGAGTTGGCACTGAGTCAGTGGCAGTGGGTTTGGTTTTTTAAACTCTAAAGTGGTTAAGCACTCAGCTGCTAACTGAAAGATTGGCAATTCAAACCCCTAGCCCACTCCACAGGAGAAAGATGTGACGATCTGCTTTCATAAAGATTACAGCTTTGGAACCCCTGTGGGGCAGTTCTACTCTGTCCTGTAGAGTTGCCTACTCAGGATTTGACTCTACAGCAGTGGTTTTTGTTATTATCTATTTGACTCTAAATACCTCAGAACAGGTGGCCATGATGTTACTCTTCAGTCATTCGCAAAAGTTTAAATTATTTTCAGTATTATAATTTTTGGAAAAATGGTAATCCAAAATGGTTAAAATTAATGTTGATACTTAAAGTTGTACTTCAGTTACCTAAGCAATTTACTTATGTGAAATACTCCACTCACAGGTATTCATTTATTAATTCAGAAAATATGGAATGTCTCTATGCCAGGTATAGAGAGGTGAGCAAAATAAGATTTCTGCCCTAATGGATTTTACACTATAATGAGGGTCTGGCAATGATTAACAAGTAAACAACTAAACAGGATGGTTAATGGTCCTTAATGCTGTGAAGGAGCTAGCCAAAATGATAGGTGAAGGCCCTTTCTGGTGACCAAGGAAAGGCACCTTGAGAAGAAATCTTTTGAGCTGAGATTTGATTGATGAGAATACCCTAACCATGTGCAGAACTGGAAAAAGAGCATTCTAGGAAAGGGAATAACATGTGGAAAGTTCAGAATACAGGTGGACTTGGCAATTTTGAGGGCTAGTGGGTAGGCCAGTGTGAGCAGAGAGGAGAATTATATGATGTGGGATTGAAGAGTTCGTCAGAATCCCAAGATTACTCAGAATCTTAAAGACTCTGGTCAGAAATTTAGATTTTATTCAAAGCCAGAAAGAAGCTAATGAAGAGTTGTAATCACAAGATATGCATGATTGAATTTCCTTTATAAAAAACTTGGCAGCTGTCTGGAGAATGAATGCTAGGGGTTAGAAGGCTACTAATCCCAGTAGCCCCAGCGAGAGATGACAAGGACTTTTGGATTAAAGTGGCAGCGTGGAAATGAAAAGAAGATAAATAGATAAAAAAGATAAGATATTTTAGAAGTAGAAGTTACTGTCCTAATAATGACGTTTGCTTAAGCAACTGATTAGATAATAGGGCAGTTTGCTTAGGTAGAGAAAACTTAGGTAAGTACAGGTTAGAGGAGAAAAATCAAGGGCTTTACTTTGTACCTAGTAAATTTTAAATGCTTTTTAGAAATTAAAGTAGTGATATCAAATGGGTAGCTGATATATAGGCTGTGGACCTTAGAGGAGAGGCCAGACAAATGAGATTATATGTGATGATATTTTTACCTTTGATTTTCTATAACTTTGTATTTTAAGATTACAGACTTTGTACTCTGTATTTCACAGCATTTTTACTTGTTAGTCTATTTGTAGTTTTACTACTTGTCTTTTGTTCTACCATTTTTTTTAAAAAAAACTAATGGATATATTGGAAACTAAGAATTATATGGTGAGTTAACAGAATTATTTTGAGTAAAGTATGTACGTATTTAGTTTAAGAATGTCAATATATGACAGGGTTTTTAACCTCCCTTGAATGATTTTTAACACTGCAATGCCATGCACATTGTATACATCTGTTTTATTCTTATTTTTCTTTTGTTTGGCTATTCAGCATGCTCATCTCTGAATCATCTGCATATAATGCTAAATATAACACAGTTATATTTAGAGTATATACTTTATAATTTGTGTATCAGCCATGGCATTTAATTTCTAAAACAAGCCATTTTTATCGTTGTGTTAAGCATATAATAATCTTACTAAAACCCAATTATTACTGTTAATGATTAGTCTTATGAACAAAAAATGTTCATTGCATTGTTGATAAGAAATTGAGAAAGTCAAGGCCAGTACTTTATAGTGTTCCTTAGTGGTTTTTCTGCCAAAGAATTGATTTGAAGTTTGACAATCCTTTCAAGCCAGAGATGTTGCTACTATGAATCAAAATTAAATTTATTTCGGTGGGTCTGTAGAATTACAGAATTTGTGGAGCACAAGTAGTTTCATGGATTGTCTTAAAAGAACATTTTATAAGCTTAAAAACTTCAGCTACCCATCGATTGCACTTCTATAAAATAGATTTCGAAGACTAGGAAGAAAACTATCCTTAAGTTTTTTGGTGTGGATTTTTATTTATTTACTTATTTTTCTGACAGTAGTGTTTTATTTCTTTTTTGTTCATTTATTTATATAATTACCTTCATTGTTTTTTTCTCCCCAATAGGTGGTGTTACTATATTTGTGGCCTTATATGATTATGAAGCTAGAACTACAGAAGACCTTTCATTTAAGAAGGGTGAAAGATTTCAAATAATTAACAATACGTAAGTGTTTGGCAGAACTTGGTTTTTACACTAAAACCACTGACCTAGTTGATTGTTTTTGCTCACTGGGTAGATGATAACATTTTGTTTCTGTAGATAAATTACATAGTACTACTGCTGCAGGGGGAAGTTATTACTTCTACAGATTGTACTGTTGTGGTTCTCTCATAAACAGTAGAGATTAAAGAATCAAGGTTATTGAAGGCATTATATATAAGTAAGTATGTTCCTTTATTAAAAAACATTTTTAAAAAATTTTTATTGTGATTTGGGTGAAAGTTTACAGAGCAAATTCATTTTCCATACAGCAGTTCATATACATTTTGTCTTATGACATTGACTGCAATTCCCCACAATGTAACAACTCTCTTCCTACTTCCTCCTCACAGTTACCTCTTCCAGGGAAGAGGTAACTTCCCTCCCATGCACTACTGCCTGCCCTGAGCTGTCACCTATGCATACACTGCCCTTCTGTTCTCCCATGATTGATCTCTCCAAAGAGTGTGTCTACCTGTAAAAAACATTTTTTAATGAGTTTTTACATTCCTGTTTAACTACAGATGATTAAAAATCTTACCTATTTCTGTAAAATACTTAGGAATAAATCTTACCAGGGACACAAAAGACCTATACAAAGAAAACTACAAAACATTGCTGCAAGAGACCTACGTAAATGGAAGAACATTCCATGGGTATGGATAACACTGAATATTGTGAAAAAGTCAATACTACCCAAAGCAATCTATATATTCAGTGCCATGCCAATCCAAATTCCATCAACATTCTTTAAGGGCATGGAAAAACCAGTCACTAACTTTATGTGGAAAGGAAAGAGATCTGAGATCAGGAAAACACTACTGAAGAAGAAGAAAAAAATATAGGTGGGCTCTCATACTTCTTGCTCTACCATACAGCCATGGTAGTCAAAGCAGCCAGGTATTGGTACAATGATGGACACATAGACCAGAGGAACAGAATTAAGAATCCAGAAATACATCCATACATCTGTGGACAGCTGATCTTTGACAAAGGGCCAAAAACCCATTAAATGAGTGAGACATAGCATATTTAATGAAAGGTGCTGGCAAAATTGGATATCCTTTTGCAGAAAAATGAAACAAGATCCATACCTCACACTATACATGAAAACAAACTCAAGATGGATCAAAGACCTAAATGTAAAACCCAAAACTATGTAAAATTCATCAAAGAAAGGGGCAAACTTAGGGGGTCCTAGTTTGACATTGTAATCAGTGCTGTGAAAGGAAACAAAATAGAATTGCTGAGTAAGGCATTCCTGTACTCTAAAACTGACCAGATTAAATTGCTTTTTCCTTATGTGACTCTTAGACTTTTTATCATTCATTGGCCCACCTTAGAAAATTTTTTGTTTTAGAAAAGAGATTCCAGTCATTGATAGGTATAAGAATTACTTTTATAACTTCTGAAATAATCTGTTGTCATTTTGTTTCCAGTCATGTTTTCTTCCATCCTTTTTCCTGTCTGCTACCAGGACAAATACAATCTTTTATTATAAAAAGTCAAGGGAAGGTTTACCCAGGGAAGGAAATTTACTTTGTTAGTTACCAGGGATGGGAGGGAAGAGGAGGGAAATTTTCTGACTAGTTAAGAAAGTCAAGTGTTGATTTGGGTGAGATCATACCTCATTGTTACTTTGATCTGCACTGCTCTAATGGGTAGTGATTGAAAACATTTCTTTGCCTCGGAAACCCAAGGAGGGGTTGCTGTGAGTCGGGGCTGACTCGATGGCACATAACAACAACAATAAGTAAAATAGTATGAAGTACCTATACATGCTATGACATAGAAGAACCTTGAAAAAAAAAATGATACGAAGTGAAGCAAAAAAAAAAAAAACCTCAGTGCTGTTGAGTCGATCTGATGCATAGCAGCCCCTTCTTGCATTTCTGAGGTGGTATCTCTACGGAAGCAGATCGCCCAATCTTCCTTCACAGTAGTGGCTGGTGAGTTTGAACTTCCAGCCTTCTGGTTAGCAGTCAGACGTCTTAGTCACTACACCACATAAGCCAGTTGTAAAAGACCACATCTTGTATGATTTCATTTCTATGAAATGTCCAGAATAGGCAAATCTGTAGAGATAGAAAGTAGATTAATGGTTGCCAGGGGTTGGAGGAAGGGAGAAATGGGAAATAGTTGCTGATGGGTACCAAGTTTGTTTTGGGAATGATGAAAATATTTTAAAATTGATTGTGGAGATGGTTAAAAACTCTGAATATACCAAAAACCACAAGATAGTATACCTGAAATGAGTGAGTTTTATGGCATGCAAATTACATCAGTAAAATTGCTAGAAATGGAAGCATTCAGTCAAAACTGGGGAATTTGCAAGATTCACATCCCAACTTGCTTTATTTGGTATCGTTTATTGTTTTGAGGTTGAAAGAATTTTATAAAAGAGACATCTTGTAACTAACGTGTAATTTTTGTTGTTTGGAGAAGTATACTAATATGCTTTGTTTAGTCTTATTCTCTTAATTCATGTAACTTTTTTTTAATATTCTTTGAGTCTAATTCTTGATTAATTTAATGCATAAATAAAAATGGAAGTAATACCTCTTTTTCTACTTTAGCTAAAAGTCAACATTGCAATATATTGTGTCTTGGGAAATAGTCTATCTTGTGGTAATTGTTGTTTTATGTGTTGCAGGGAAGGAGACTGGTGGGAAGCAAGATCAATTGCTACAGGAAAGAATGGTTATATCCCTAGCAATTATGTAGCGCCTGCAGATTCCATTCAGGCAGAAGAGTATGGCATTACTTCATTTTTTATTAATTACTTTGATTTTTAAAGTGTTTTAATGCACATTGTACTTAGCCACACTTTACACACACACAATTACATACTAATCTTAATAAAGCTAATGTATCATATTAATAGGAGATGTTACTTGAAAATTAATAATTAATGGATAGTATTTGCTCATAGTAGAATCATAATGAATCTGCGTTAATAATAGTGCAACTTATGCCCGTTCTCTTTTATTATTCTAGGTTTGTTTTTCTTTTTAATTATATTAATCCTTTTTATATTCTACAGATTTTCTCACTTCAGAAATTTACTGTCAGTTATTAGAATTATATCAGTTTTGACTTTGGTGTTGTACTGTGGTTATGTTGGAAAGTGTCCTTGTCTTTTAGGAAGTACACATTGAAGTATTTAGGGATAATGATTAACATACTCACAACTTACTCTCAGTTGAGAAAATATAAACACACATACACATGCATACGTGTACTGAGAGAGTGAGAGAGTATATGATAAAGTAAAATGTTAATGATTGGGGAACCTAGGTAAAGAGGATATGAGAGTTCCATGTTATTCTTACATCTTTTTTGTAAATTTGAACTTATTTCAAAGAAAGTTAAAGTTCACCTTCAGTAACAAATCTTATCTTTAAGCCAAACCAGGTTTATCGAAGATCCATAAATACCTCTTCATTTTCATATCACAACACTTAGCACAATGCTCTGTACATAGTAGGTCCCTGTCATTGTTTGTTTGCTTTTATTAATGGTATCAGATAATTTGCCTCTGTAACAGTCTGTTCTGTGACTCTTATTCACCACTAATCTGTGAGCTTCTTTTTCATCATTATTTTTATTGTGATTTGGGTGAAGATTTACAGAGCAAATTCACTTTCCATACAGCGGTTCACATAGACTTTGTCTCAT